ATTGCTACTGCGGTATAGCTATTCTAAAATCTAAATGGTCCATAGCTATTGCTAAAATATTGATTCAACGTCACTAAATTTACTGTACGTCAGATATTTACATGTTTGTGTAATACATTTAAGTGATCATCTGACGTACTAATAATATTAATCGTAAATTATTTAAATGCTATTATTATTATTAAATTCGTCGTATAACATTATCAATACATGCGATTTGATGAATTATAGTTTATAAAGGTTATATGTTATAGATATGAGATTCCAAATAGGCGAGGCCCAGAGTCCATTTTTACGTATTAATTAATTAAATTTAGAATCGTAGCCTTAAAATTCATATTATACATAAGTAACATAGCGATAGAAGATATAAAATTCCGCATGATGTGACAATTACAATACAGATACTAAACCAAAATTTTTTATGATACACTCCCTGGACAAAAGTTTGTCCCCAAATTATACTAAATAAATAGTTGCGATTTATATATTATTTGAAGGCTCTAGTTCTCAAAAATGTTTGTCATTAGCATCATATTTATATTTTGATTATGGTAAAATTAATATTAAAGCCAAATCTGTCACTAAATTTATAAAATTGATGACTGCTTTCAGCAGATAAATTTTTATTTTTGACTATTTTAATATCTAGTTGGTCAACCATTGTTGGCAATACATTCTTCTATCCTTTGAGGCATACTATCAACCAGCTTCAGATATTCTCATGTGGAATCTGTTCCCATTCTTGTTTTAAAAAAATTTCCAATTCTCCTAAATTTTTTGGATGCTCAAGATGATTTTTTAATCTTCGGCCAAGTTCATCCCACAGGTGCTTGATAGGGTTAAGGTCTGGTGACTGAGAAGGCCAATCTTCAAGAAGAATAATCTAGTCTTCTCAGACATCCATTTTTTTACATTTTTTGTAGTGTGGACAGGAGCATTATCATCCTGAAACTTGTGATAATTGTGATCTGCTTCCATTCTTAACATCCCAACACTGAGTCATGAAGTTACCTGCTCTGGTAATGCCTGGATATGTAAGGCAGATGGCACATGAGATGAAAGCAAAAAAGCATGAATTGATTAGTTGATGTCACAAGCAAATGGCTAAGAATTAATCAATAACAATGTCACACTACTTACTGGGACACTCAACAATGATGTGGATGGATCCCAAAGCAGGAGTACCAAACATCTCTCCAACTTGCTTTGTCATATGTTTTATCTTGATGCCACCTGACTCTTCAATGGTTTTCTCATTGTTTTGAAGTTGCTCAATCTTTTCCTCATTATCCTTGAGAATATTAACTCTCCACATTACAAGATCTTTTGTGTCAACATTAGCAAACATTCCCGGCAGCAACACCTTGATGGTTTTCTTGAGTTCTCCAATGGTTACATCCTTGTTAGCAGAAACTGGAAATGCATTTTCAATGCAAGACAGAACAATGTAATTGGGCCATGGGTGGCAGATGTTCCAGATGTAGTGGCCTGAGCCTCCTTCTGCACATGTAAGTATAAAATAAGTAACCAGCAAGCAAACAAGTCCACACATAAACTGTATGACACAAAGAAACTTTCTGAGCATCCAAAACAGACTAGTAATATCTACCTTGGTCTCCATTTGAACAGAATCAAGCAACTGGACATCAGACATCTCTTGTTTGCTTGTGCTTGCAAGCAGGCTTGGGCACTGCTGCAGTTGCTTGTTGAACTCGTTTTTTCTCTTGTTCTTCCTTTCGTTTTCTGTCTTGTTTTCCTCTAGTCATGTTGGAAGTGGTAGTGAGAAGTAAATTGTACCACAATAACAAATTTTGATCTATTACATATATGGTCAAAAATATTGGTATGTTTCCTGATAAAGGCTCCCTGCTCTAATAAG